TGCCTGCTCTGTACTCAGCCAGTGGCTCAGGGGTGATGAGGTGCTGAGGATGCAGCCTCCTTTACAGCAGCATCTGCCTGAATGGTGCTGGGAACTGCTTGGCCCCTCTGTGGGATTTACATCTGCCTGCAATCACTTCCTGTGTGGAGGGGCTCAGGTCTGGGACAGCTCCTCTCGTGGGATTTTGAACACCGAAGGTGACTCTCGCTGTGGGATATTCACCAGGAAGAAGCTGCTTTGGCTGTCACTTGATTAACTTGAACTCAGAACTTCTGAGCGCTTGGGGGAAGTTTATTTTTTTTTTTTTTTTGCAAATCCCACTGTGGCGTTCAAAACACACCACGAGTAGTTTTATTTTACATGCAGGTTCCCTTTGTGGTGGGGTCCTGTGTCACCTTGTTTCTCACACCACGATCCTCCCCTTTCAGGCAGCGACGGAGCCGGATGCCGACAGACGGGGGTACGCAGGTGAGGAGTGGGGACTGTGCCCCAGCACGTGTGGGGTGCCCCTCGCTGTGTGGCATTGTGAGGGGTGGCTTCAGTCGCCATCCTTGGAACAAGCTGCCTGGAGTGGCCGTGAAAGCCACTGATTCACCCTGCAAGGCACTGCAGGGTTGGAGAGCTCACTTTGGGCCTGGGGGAGCTCCTGTGGGGCAGCGTGTGGGGAAGGTGAGGGGTGGGAAGGGATCCCGTGAACTGGATGCTCTGCAGTGCTTGTAGCCATTGCTCACATGGCCACGGCATGAGGTGTGGGTTGTGCTGGGGCCTCTGGTCTGATGCCTGCCCTGCTCCCTGCAGTGTGGGTGTCCGAGATCATGCTCCAGCAGACACAGGTGGCTACAGTGATTGACTACTACAACCGCTGGATGCAGGTGACTGTTCCTCACAGAGTCCTGTGCCCACAGGCTGCCCCTTTTGGAGAACATGTCCACTGCCTGTGGCAGATCCCCAGCTGCAGAGCACAGCTCTGCTTGTCCCTGACTTGTCCCCTTCCCTCTGTACCACAGAAATGGCCAACACTGCAGGCTCTGGCACAGGCATCCCTGGAGGTGAGTGCCACTGGGACCGGGTGCTCTCCCTGCCCTGTGGCTCTCCATTAACACTGTGCTGTGTCTCTTGGAGCAGGAGGTGAACGAGCTGTGGGCTGGGCTTGGCTACTACTCGAGAGGGAAGCGTCTGCAGGAGGCAGCAAGGAAGGTGCTCTGGAGCTGGGGTGGGAGGGCATTTCCAAACCCCTCTGTGGGTGGTGGGTTGGTGCTGGCTCACACCTGCCCTGCCTTGCTGGGGCTGTGAGCTGCTGGCATGAGGCTGCAGAGGGTGGGATCCCATCTTCCTGCGGGCAAAACGGGTTGCCTGCATGCACCCACCCCAGCTGCTTCCTGGACCTCAGCTCCCTCTCTGCCAGGTGGTGTCCGAGCTGGGCGGCCACATGCCCAGGACGGCTGAGGCCCTGCAGAAGCTGCTGCCGGGAGTGGGCCGATACACGGCGGGAGCCATTGCATCCATCTCGTATGGCCAGGTGAGAGCTGGGCATCACTGGACATGTCTCCCATTTTTGCCACCCAGCCCCACTGCTGGCAGGGTCCTGCTGCTGGGGTCTCACTAACCAGGGGCTCCTCCTCAGGGCTGTGCTTGGCTCTTGCTCTCCCCTCACTTTGGGGTGCATCTCACCCACTGCCCAGCTTGGCCTGTGGTTTGGCCTCTTGTGTGTCCCTCTCCATCCTGGGAGCACCCCAGCTCCCTGCCTTACTTGGAGCGCATCCCAGCATGGTAACCCCAGTTCCTGGTCCCAGGCTACTGGCGTTGTGGATGGGAATGTGATCCGTGTGCTGTGCCGCCTGCGATGCATCGGTGCCGACTCCAGCAGCCCGGCCGTCATGGACCGGCTCTGGTAAGGGGAATGCTCTGTCTCTGTTTGGAGCTGTGGTGATCATGGCCAAGCACAGGAGTGCTCAGGAGCCATGGGGAGCTGAGCCTGTGTAGGGAGAGAGGTGTGGAGTACAAGAGCTGTTGGGAAGGTGGTGCTGCTGGGAGTAGTGGAGAAAGGAGCTGTGTTACCTGTGCCTACATAGGAGCATCGTCCCTGGCAGGCAGGGGGCAGGCACAGGTCCTGGGATGCTCTCCTTGCAGAGCCCTGTGCCTCTCACTACCATTTGTCCAGGGACATGGCCAATGCCCTGGTGGACAAGAGCCGCCCTGGGGATTTTAACCAAGCCCTGATGGAGCTGGGGGCGACCGTGTGTGTGCCCAAGGCCCCGCTGTGCGGGGAGTGCCCCGTGAAGCAGCACTGCCGAGCACGGTGCAGGGTAAGTATGCCCCCAAAATGTGGCCCTGAGGGGTTGCCATGTGCGGGGACAGGGTGGGCTGGTGGATGAACCTGTCCCCGCTCCTGTCCCTCCTTGCAGGTGGAGAAGGAACTGGCTTTCGCCTCGCAGAAGCTGTTTGGAAAACCCGCCCCAGTGCCCGATGTTGAGGACTGTGGTGAGCGTGGGGGGAGATCCCTGTTGTAGCTCCAGGTCTGGGCCCTGCAGCAACTATTATGTTGGTGTTTGCAGGTGTTGGGGACTGTCCCCTGTGCCCCCCAGCCACGGAGCCGTGGGACAGCAGCCTGGGGGTGACCAACTTTCCTCGGAAAGCAGCAAAGAAGCAGCCGCGGGCGATGCGAACGGCCACGTGTGTGCTGGAGCGGAGGGGCTGCCGTGGGGGCCCCGAGTACCTCATCGTGCAGAGACCCAGCTCAGGTGATGAGGCTGGGCAGGAGGGGGATGGAGGCATCACGCAGCCCCTTCCCACCTGTGTGAGGGACAGAGCAGCCTGGGGGAGGCACTGGGGATGCACTTCCTGCTAGGGTGGGGAAAGGAGGCCCTTGGAGCTGTGAGGAGGCTCAGTGTCTCCAGATGTACCCCTTGCTGTCTCACATTTCTGTCATGCCTCCTCCCCAGGTCTCCTGGCTGGACTCTGGGAGTTCCCAAGTCTCCCGCTGGCTCAAGATCTGCAGGAGGAGAAGGAGAGGGAGGTGCTGGCTGATCACCTCCAGGCCTGGATGGGGCAGCCCGTGGCAGCCAAAGGCCTGCGGTTCATTGGAGAGGTGAGCCCGGAGACAGAGGGATACAGTGTGAGCCCCCTGTGCTCAGCCACAGGGATGCAGCACAGGGGAAGAGGGTCCCCCTTCCCCACTGTCACCCCTCCCACGCTCTGCCCCACTCCTCAGAGCCCTGGCAGACTTGATGCACTTGTGGGGCGGCTGAGCTGTGCACCCCTCACTGCAGGCCAGCTGCCTGTTTCATGTGTCTTCCCATCCCTTCACAGGTCATCCACATCTTCTCCCACATCCACCAGACGTATGTGGTCTATTCCCTGCCCCTGGATGGGGATGTGACCCTGGACCCTGCCTCCCCATCCCGCTGGGTGACAGAGGAGGAGTTCCATGCCTCAGCTGTGTCCACAGCCATGAAGAAGGTACTGGGGGGCATCTGGGCCTCTCCTCCCTTCTGTCAGTCTTTCTGGGAGAGCCTCTGCCATCCCCTCAGCCTCTGCAGGCTGTCTCAGCTCCAAGACCCAGCTGCTGTTCAGCTCTGGGCTCTCTTGTGCTCCCTTCAGGTGCTGAAAGCCCACAAGAAGCAGCACAGGAACGAGACCAGCCCTGGCAAGGTGAGCAGTGCTCCAGGGTGCCTGAAGCCCCAGGAGCTGCTCCCTGTTGCTGTGGGACAGCCTCTGGTGTGCCATGCTGAAGCCCCCATGGGGTTTGGGATCAGGCCAAGGAGCATCCTGTGGCAGGGAGACTTGCCTGGCTGGCACTGCCCCAGGATGTCCCCAGTACCAGGGGCCCCTTTCTCCAGAGGGGATCCCTGGAGACCGTGGGGGCCCTTGGGGTTTGATTTAGTTCTACTGCTTGTCTCCTGTAGGGCTTCAAGCGGAAGAGGGGGGCAAAACCACAGGGAGCAGGCAGCACCTGCCCTGGGACACAGCTCTCCCTCCACGCCTTCCTCCGGGCACCGACTGCCCCGTGACAGCACCTGCCATGTGTGAGACCCCCAGAGACCCACCCTGTGGGGAGTCCTGCCCGTGGCAGGGGATAGTTTGTCCCTGTGTTGCTGCAAGCTCAGTACATGGCACTGTACCGGTCTCCCACTCGTCCTTTCCACTGGCTCCCCTGTGGGAAGTGTGCCTGGATGTGGCCACTGCAGTACTGAACGTGTCCTGGGGCCAGGCCTGCCCTTCTGGGGTTATTCAGCCCCTGGCACCATGGACTCCCAGCAGCAGGGGTTCCTCTTTGGCAGTGGGAAGGCTGTGGCCACACTGCTCCCACAGCCCTGTCCCCTGCCTGCACCTCATCCACCAGCCAGTGACTGGGGATGCTGCCATACCCTTCCCCGCCTCCAACAGTCCTTTTTATACACTTGTTTTTACTGAACCTGAACCACAGGCTTTCTAATAATAAATCCTAAGTGTGTGGGGTTTTCTACGTGACTTTCTGTTTCTGTTGCACTGTGCTAAGCTGGGGGTGTCGGGCAGCCTGTGGTAGAATGTGAAGACAGCCAGCAGGATCCCTACATTTGGGTTGGAGACAGCAGGGATTTCTTTGTTAAAGAACCCCTTGGCTGAGCATTAACTGCTGGTGACTCAAATAGGGCATCCAGAGCATTCCTCTTGCGAGGGCAGGCATCAGTCTCTGAGGGCTGTGCTGCTCCTACCCACAGGCTGCTCCTACATAGGCCAAACAGCTGTCCCCAGGGCTTTTTGTAGGGTTTTATCCTTTTTTCTTCTGGCTGTTCCTCACTGTCCTGCTGAGGTTTTCCCTGACTGTGATGCACCCTTGCAAAGGCACAAGCCTGGGGGCTGGCAGGGACTTGGGACAGTCCTGGTGGGGTGCAAGGGGCAATGACCTCAATTTAGGGACTGCAGGGGTGGGGACAGCCCGCCTTGAGGGACAGAAATGGCCCTCTCATCCTCGCCTGGCACTCAGCACATTGTAAATGGGAGGATTAAGAACTCAAAGCAGTTAATTCTTTAATTGGGAGGAGCAAGAGGCCACCACTTGCCCCACACAGGGGCTGGCCGTGCTCTGGGTGGTAACCATTGGTGAGCAGTCTGCCCAAGGCCCCAGGCTTATCCACTCCCCTCTGGCAGCCCTTCATTCCTCTACAGCTGGGGGTGGTTGCTGTGCCAGCACTGCTCTTGGCCCTGCTGCAGGCTCAAGTCTCAATAAATTAAGATGAACTGAGGCAGAATTCTTTGTCTGAGGTTGATAAATCACTGGGAACCCAGGGAGGGAGAAAAATCACCCTCCATCCTGGGGGATGCTCAGACCCCTGCTGGATTTGGCCCTGAGGGTCTTTCTCCCACGCTGAGTTGGCTCTGGGTTGACCTGGAGTGCTCCCTTGGTCCCTGCCCACCTGGGCCATGCCACCAGCACCCACTGGGATCTCTACAGTGGTGCAGTGCCCCCAGGGTTGGAGTGGAGAGGATGGGGAGCTGAGGGTGGAGGATTGCAGTGTTGCCACTACTGCTGCTGGTCCATATAGACCTGCACAGCTTTCCACAGTGCCCGTATATTGCCTTCCCCAAAGCCCGGTGCTCCCCGACGGTCAATGAGCTCCAGGAAGAAGGTCTCCTCGGAGAAGATGGGGTGGGTGAAGATCTGCATCAAATACTCCTGAGAAGGGCTCTCTGTGGCATCAGTGCCCCGCCGGCCCTTGTCCCCAGGCGGTGTGGTGTCCAGGAGGATGCCAAGCTCTGCCAGCATGTGGGGGTCCTGCCCGGCCCCCCGGATCTCCTCCGCTTTGCCCCCCTGGCTGTAATATGTGGCGGGGGGTGTGAAGAACCGCACACCCTGCTGCTGCAAAGCCCTGGTTGTGGTGACGATGTCGGTGGTGCAGAGGCCGACGTGCTGGATCCCGGCCCCGCCGTGCTGCTCCAGGAACGTGTCGACTTGGTTGGTGCCGTCCCGCGAGAGGGACTCGGCGAAGACCAGCTTGCAGCCGTGTGCTGGGGTGCCCTGGGCACTCTGCAGCGCAAGGAGCAGCATGCCCACCCCCTGCCCCCCTAGCACGTATCCCTCGGCTGGGCTTTCCTGCGGGTTCAGCAGGAAGCGGTGGAAGCCGAAGCAGCGCTGGTACCAGTCCAGAGCTGCCCGGGCGCCACCCCGGGGGCAGACATATGTGATGTGGTCAAAGTGGGTGATCTCAATCCCGTCCCCTGTGGCTGAGGGGGCTCTTTGGATGGGCTGGAAGCCAGGCAGGAAGGGTCCCTGGTAGCGAGATCGGTCTAAAAGGGTATGGCTGATGTTGCCCACGACGGAGCTCACCACCCCGTAGGTGACAGAACCGCCGTCATCCCTCAGCTCAGTGGGGGGCACCAGCAAGGAGCATCCCTGGCTCTGCAGCCGCTTGCAGAACCCCAGCACGTCGTCCACCTCAAAGCAGACGTTGGAGGCTGTGCCCAAGGCAGGCTGGGGGTCCACGTCGTAGAGGAATTCCCGGGAGGAGGTGCTGGCAGACCCCGGTGCCAGGCGCTCGTTGACGAGGAAGACAGCGGATCCCCGTCGCAAGGCCAGCTGCCGGACCCGCGGCGTCTCCCGCACGGCCACGGGCTGGAAGCGAAAGGTGTTGGCCAGGTGCTGGGCCCAGCCCTGCCTGTAGGGCAGGTGGAGGGAGATGAAGCAGGGGCGGCTCAGCGAGGCTGCCATGGCCGGGCAGGCTGCAGGGAGGATGCAGGGGGTCAGGGGGGGCTTACTGGCCATGGGAAGAAGCCGTTCCCCCACCTTGCACAGAGCCCACGTGCATCTGCGTGCACAGACGCACATGTGTGTAAACTTGCACCCTTTAAATGTGTGTATTTAAATAAGTGGTCTCACAAGCCAATTTGCACTGTGCAAGGGCACCCACCTTCCGCAGCAGCTGCAAAGATCTGCCCAAGGGTGCTGAGGCATCCCACCCCTTCACTCTGCTGCCCTGCCCTGTGCCTGGGGTGCCTGAGGAGAAAACCCCCGAGCCCTGGCTGCAGCCCAGTGGGCCTCCTCTGGAGCCATGTGTCCCTTGGGAGTGCCACAGGGAGGTCAGCAAGGAATCCCAGTGTGGGAGGCGTGCTGTACGTGTAAGCAAGATTATGGGGACAAGGGTTGTGGGGGAGAATGTCCTGTACCAGGAACATGGAGGTTGGACTGGTAAACATGGAGCAACACACTAGTTATAGCTAAAAGGCTTCTGTGCTGTCCCAGTGCTTGCCAAGGTTGTCCCACGAATGTGGGGGTTACAGGCTGATGTGCCCTTTCTCTCCCCAACAAGGACAGCGTGGAGCTACAACGCTTCCTGCAGCAGGCTGGGGACAATGACCTTGCCCTATTGGGGCAGAGGAGGGACACTTCAGGAAAAGTGATCTCCCTCCCCACCCCGCCACATGCCTGCGACACCGAAGGAGGCAAAAAGATCTGTCCAAAAAATCAATCGGCATACCCTCTCCAGAGCATCCCATTGAGGCTTCCTGACCCCTTGGCATGCACCAGCCACCCCGGCCAGAGCGCACAGGAGTGCAGGGGGCTGGGGGGCCACACACACACCTGCTGAAATATTCCCTCTCACCCGCCTCTGGAAGGGGCTGTGCACACCGAGCCCTCCCTGCTCCCAGGGCACAGGGCTGAGCAGGGGCCCCGCAGTGCCCCTGAGACCCGCCGGGCTCCCCGCCCGCGCAGGGAGGCGGGACCGTGCCGGGGCCCCTCCGAGCACATGGGCAGGGGACGGCGCTCCTTCCCTCCAGCCCTCCTTCCCGCTGCGCCCTGCGGGATCAGCACGATTCCCGCTCCGCTCCCGCCGCCCCCGCTCCCGGCCGCCCGCCCCGTCCCTCCCCCGTGCCCGCGGGGGCCCCGCTCGCCCCCGGGCCGCGGCTCACCGGGGTCAAGGCTGCGGGCGAAGGGGATGCCGGGCAGGGCCGGCCCCGGGGGCGGTTCGATCGCTCCTCCCCGGCATGCCCCGGGCACGGCGGGACGGGCACAGCCGCGGGGGTGGCGGTGCCAGGGAGCCTGTGGGAGCTTGTGGGAGCTCTGGGGAGTTGTCCCGGCGGGGGGAATCGGCGGCTCCCGTCCTAGGCAGGGAACCCCTGGCCACGGTGAACGCCGCACGCTGCGGGTGCCGCAGTTCCTATCGACCCGTGCGGGGCGGGCGGTGGTTGTAGGGCGAAAAGATGCCCAGGTTTACGAGCGCGGGCACCGTGGCTCGGGGTGAGCCAAGGGAGGAGGGAGCCAGGTGGTGCTAGGGGGTCCCTGGGATGCAGCTCATGTCTGTGCTGGGTCATTCCCTGCCAACCCGAATCCAACCCGAATACGTAGTGCCCACGCTCAGTGCTGGGCGCTTCACGGGCCAGGGATGCCCAGTGGGGCTTAGGGAAGCAGCAGGTAGGTGGGTGGGGGTGAGAGCTCTGCAGAAGGCCCGGTGTCAGGCATGAGATGGGGCTGCTCCAGGCTGACCCCGTGCAGCTCCGCCTGCTCCCCGATCCCAACCCATGGCTCCACACCCTTGCAGACACCCCTGAGCCCCTCCATCCCCCTAGCAGCAATCCTACTCGTGGCTGTTTTCCGATCCTCTCTCTCCCTGCTACTTGTGGCTGTTTTCCGACGAATCTCCTCTCTTCATGTGTCTGGGATCATATTCTGCCCCCTCTCTGACTGTGGCTGCTGCCCTTCCCTGCCTTATCATGTTTTTGTACAGAGCCCAGGTACAATAAACTGCTCAAATATTTGCAGAGATGTCCGTGTGCTGCCAGAGTGGTGAGCTCCTCTTGTTTGGTTGGGGGGTGGAATCCAGTGTTGCTGTGATTTCCCAAGGGAGCACCGGCTCCTTACACGACCACAGCCCCACTGGTGTGGGGCCAGACAGGAGGCATGGGATCGGACACTGGGGGATGGCTGTGGGGCCACACAACAGAACAGCACGGCCTTCAGGGTGACACTGTGCAGAGCAGGGAGCTGCAGCACCCCGGGGTGTGAGGCCCATCCCTTTGGCTGCAGGGTGGCAGAGGCAGGGTGGCAGGGTGGCTCCCCTGGGACCTTGTGCATGGATGATACTGTTCAATGTTACCCCACAGTCCTGCAGCCCTTTGGTGCAAGCAGTGCCCTTGGCAGTGCCCCCAGCCCTCCTGTGCTATGGGGTGATTTCGAGTGGCTATGCCTGTGTTTTCCCTCCAGCACTGCCTGTCACCCTCTGTGCCAGCCCGGCACCAGGCACCGCTTTGCCCCAGCGTGGCACGGGCTGGGCTGTGGCAGCAGGACGAAGCCACATGGCACGGAGGGGGACAGTGCCTGCCTTGTTGCCATCCCCTCGAGGCAGGCGGTGGTGGCCAGGGAGCAGTCCCTGTTCCAGCCAGGCTCTTCTCCTCCCTCCTGGGCGGGGAGAGTGGACAGGAGATAAAAGGGAGATCAGGGCCAGCTGGAAGTTGCTGAAAGCTGCTGGGACTGGGAGCAAGGGAGGACGGCAGCGAGGAGAAGTGCGGTATTGAGGACTCGTTCTCGTGGGGGGGAGGGCTGGAGATTGGGAGCACATCCATCCTGACCAGACCCTGAAGCCCCCTGCTCCTTCCCCAGATCATCCCCCCCAGTCCTATATCCTTCCCCTGCTCATTAAACCTGCTGGATGCTAGAGGGACGGGGCATATCTTGGGGTGGGAATGGTTAGGGGGCTGAGAGGAAGGGAATTCAGGCAGATATTCAGAGGCGAGGGCTTTAAAGGCTCTGTGTACCCCCAAAATGCTTCATGGGGCATAAAGGATTCTCAAGGTGACCTGAAGGTGAAACCATTCCTGTCCCAGTGACTCCTCACTGGTAGCCGAGATGATGAGGGCTGCATCCCTGCTCCCCTCTGGGACAAAGACAGACCTCTGTCTGGGGCTGGGTTTGTTTTATGGCATTAGGGAGGTGGACAAGGCCCATGGGAGGAGCAGCACCTTCATCTTCTGTTGTGTGGAGGGGGTATCTCACTGCTGGGGAAAACAGGGTGCTGTGGCAGTGGGTGCCCACGAAAGATGCAGCAAAGCTGCTGTGCTGGTTGGGAGCTGGACACCCCAATCCCCCATTTCATCTCCCTCTCCTTGCCCCCCCAGAGTAGGGTTTCCTGGCTCCCAGTGCTGTGCTGGGAGCCTACTAGTCCTTGTCCTACCACCACTGCCCACTAGTCCTTGTCTGCCCTGGGTGGGGGGTGCAGGGAGGTACTTTGGGGTTGCAGTGGATCTAGGAGGAGAATAACACCCCGTGTCCCCCTGCCAGGGCCCAGAGTCCGGGATGAGGCTGCTGGTGCTGGCCCTGGCCACCTGGCTGGGGCTGTCCTCGGCCTCTGAGGAGGTGGCCAACAGCAGCCGGATCTGCCAGGAGGCACCAGCATGGAGCATCAACGGCTCAAGCCCCATGGAGGGGGCGGCAGGGCAGGTGACCGTGGTGGCTCTGCTGAAGGCCAGCTGACACTTCTGCCTGACGCAGGCCCAGAGGTGAGCCCTGCTCCCCTGCCCCAAACCAGCTCCACCATCTCGGGGGGGTCTCAGCAGCCCCCTGCCCCGGCACCCTTTCCCAGCGCCTCCTTCCCACAGCCTCGGGGGCCTGCGGGAGCGGCTGGCCCGGCAGGGCATGGTCGGCATCCGCTACATGATCATCAACGAGAAGGCGCCGCTGTCCCGCGCCATGTTCGGGGAGCTGCAGCGCCACGCCCCGCCGGGAGTCCCCGTCCTCCAGCCGGAGCCGGAGGACCCCGACGTCTGGCAGGTCCTGGGGGGCGACAAGGACGACTTCCTTGTCTATGACCGGTGAGTGGCCCCCGACTCGCCTGAGGCTTTCTTGGGGGTTACAGAGCTCTTGGTGGGCTTCCAAAATCTACCCCCATGGCTGGGCTGGGGGGAACCCAAAACCCCATCTCGAGCCAGGCCATGGCTTCTCCTCTCAGGTGCGGCCGCCTGGCTTTCCACATCCAGCTGCCCTTCAGCTTCCTCTACTTCCCCTACGTGGAGTCGGCCATCCGCTTCACCCACAGCAAGGACTTCTGCGGCAACTGCTCCCTCTACCCCAACACTACACAGGAGGTAAGAGCAGGGATGCTCACTGGAGCTGGGATTCTTTCTCTCCTCTGGCATTGCACACCATGAGAAACAATGTTATCTCCATGCTGGGGACAGGCTCCGGGGTTGGCAGCTGCCCTTGGCAGTGGTTTAGAGGGAAGGTGATGAAAGGTCTGGAATAAGGGCACTTAAATAGGTCAGAGCTTTCAGACTGAGAAAGAATGGACTAAAGGGGTCATAGCCCAGGTCTGGGAAAGCTAACTAGGACTCTTCTCATATAAGAAAGGGGCAGGCAGTACATGCAGAAGTGGCAAGCTCAGAGCAAAGAAAAGGACACAGCTCTGAGCACAGCAGGTGATTAGTCACTTCCTAGGAGAAAAATCCATCCAGAAATATTAAATGCAAAGTCCTTTTTCTCTGGACCACTGACAGCTTGAGCCAAGGGATTCGGGTACAGAGGCTTGTGTCCTGTGTGCTCCAGCCTCTCCTGTCCTCTCTGTGTCCTGGGCCAGGGCTGGAGAGCCTTTGCTCTGACCCATAGCTTTCTGTATGACACATGCTGCTCTGCCTTCATCCCAGCTCACAGCCGTGCTCCCAGGCTTTCTGCAGGGCTCTGTGGGCATTCACATTCCACACCAGTCCTTGTGTTACTTTCCTCAGGCTAACAGTACCATGGAGGCCCCTGTAACCCCGAGCCCGCTTCCTGAACATGAAGGGAAGGAGTCAGGGACCCTCATCCACCAGCACAAGCCCCTCCATCCTCATCGCCACCATGAGGTTGGCAACGAGAGAGCCACAAACCCAAGTGGGGACCACGAACCTGCCGCCCATCCTCACCGCCACCATGGGGACCATGATCATCTCCATCACAAGGGGAAGAAGCAGAAGGAGGGGAATGAGCACTAAGCCAAGCTGGGCAGCCTTGCAGAACCCGGTAGTGTGCAGAACACCCCAACTCACTTCACAGAGGCGAGGAAGGACTTGCTTTGGGCTGCTGATCACCAGCAGCAGTGGTATAACAACTCCCTCCAGCATCCCCCATGTGGGTCACACTCCCACACTGTGGTAGGGATGGAAATCTCCCTCAGACCCTGCTCAGTGCTGCATTTTCCACCCCGGGGCTCAGTTCTGAGCCTTCCTCTGCTGCTGTCTGCCTTTCCATGCTCAATGAAGCCCGCTGTGCAAACCAGGAGGTCCCTGGTCACTGCTGGCTGACACTGCATGGAGCAGCAGGGCAGGGATGGAGGGGCCAGAGCTGGGATGGAAGCAGCACTGCCAGCACCCTCTGCCCATCCCAACACTTCTGGGGCACCCCTGGGTGTCCTGGCCAGGGAGCGAGGGGAGGGACAGTGTGTGCCCTGCAGGACATGGTCCCAGGGGTGTACGGGAAGCGGTGGGATGTCGTAGCTCTCCATGGTCCAAACCCCGTACCCCCATAGCTGTCACATCCTGGGGACCCCTCAGACCGTGCACACGGGTATGTGCAGTGGTGGTGGGTGGCCGCAAGATGGTGGCCTTGTCCCCTCTTGGAGACCCACGGGCTGTATGGAAGGGCCCACAGCCCTGGGAGGACGGGGTGAGGATCCTGGGGTCTCTCCTGGGGGAAGCGAGGTGGGAGGGTGATGCGGATATCCAGAGTACAAATAAAACCTCTGTGAAGTGACCACTGCTCAGTCTGGCCTCTGGTGGGCCCAGGGAGGGTGGGGGTCTTGCTCAGTGCTGGTCTGTGCTCTGGGCACAGGGAGGGACACAGGGCTGAATGGAGATCCTGTAATGCAGCAGCTGGTGGTGATTTACATCCCCTGGGTAGGGGTTGGTTGGAGGTAAAGCGGTTGAAGACCGAAGAGACTCCACCTCTTCAAACCTTCTGGTTTCCTCCTGCCAGGATGGGAGCGCAGGGCATCAGTGCTGTGCTGCCAGGAGGACGTTTGGCTCAGCACCTCCATCTCTGCCTTGTAGGTGTGGTGTTGGGGTGCCTGCCCCAGGCTGCTGTTTGTTCCCACATGCAGTCCAAAGTCATCGTGGGCATCTTGTCCCCAGTGCCCAGACTGGTCCCCACTGTGAGCACACCCTGGGGCTTCCCAGCCCTCAGGAAGTCGGGTGCTGTGTCCTTGGCAGGCAGTCACACCTGCCTGCACCGTGGGCCACCCCCAGGCCTGGATCTGCCCTTTACTCCAGCTCCATCCATCATCCCACACAGCCCTACTCAACAGCTTCCCTGAGCTGCCCACCTCCTTTCCAGGCCCCACAGCCTGAGTGGGGAGCAAAGAGACGTTTTTCTGCTCAGCGTTATGAGGTGCCATGTGTGGTGTGTGTCCTACTGCTGATGCTCTGAGCTGGATTTCTGCCCCCCTCCAGCCTGCCTCTGCTGGAGAATGCTCTGCCCAGTGACTGGGACAAGAACCAGGGTGAAGAGAACCTGTTCTTCATGGGGATGAGGCCAGTGAGAACAGAAGGGTCTTTCTCATCAGCCTGGGGGAGCCAGCCAAGCTCTCCCATGGACTACTGGCTGAGACTCTGCTCTCCCTCCTCCATCTCTCCTCCCCCTTCCTCCTCTACCTGCTTCCAGTAGCCTGCAAGGGCACCTCTGTCTGCTGCTCCTGCCATCAATATTGAGGTTATCTTTTTCTTCTGGCAGCTGCTGTAATTGAAACAAAGCAGGCCGGGCCTCACGGGCTCCGCTCCTCTCGCTCATTTTGCCGG